CGCAGCGCCCAACGCACGATCGCTGCGATCCGCGTACCCGCACGCTGTCCGCGCCCGACGCGCACGAGCTGCCCGCTGCACCCGACGACCGAGACCCATGTGCCGTGTGATCGAGTTTCGTGGAACGTATCGATTAGAATTGATTAAAGGCCAAACCTATCTGCCCATTAGATTGTGGTGTTCAGACGAATTTCACCAACGGTACTCTACATCGTCTCAGAGTCCGCAAAAATTTTAAAAGGAAAACGTCCATATCCTAACTATAGATTCCGCTGCGTTAGGATTTATTTCGATAAAGTTCAATGCTGTGCATGTTGTTTGACGTTCCTAACAGAACCCAACATAAATATGGGCTTATCACATTAGGCCTAGGAATCCTAATTCTATTCCAATACGAATTCAATGTATGAAAGAGATCTCCTACCAATCTAACTCTTCTAGAAGACTCCTTAGTCTCCTAACACTAGAGAAGATCCTAGTAGGAATACCTTTCTTAATTAAATTAATAATCATGGAATAAAATTAATTCTTAATTTAGGTAACCTAATCTTACTCCAATTAATAATCTAATGTAGGAAATATATCTCCTACTAATCTTCATCTTCTAGAAGACTCATTAGTCTCCTAATTCCTAGAGAAGATTCTAGTAGGAATATTATTTTCCTAATTAAATTAATTAATATGGAATAAAATTAATTCCTATTTAATAGAATTAAATTATAAAACATCCCACTAGAGTAATATTATTGCTCTCCCCATTTAGCCACTATTTTACCAATAAAATCGAGCCTCCATGATTAAATAATATTAATTCGATTGATCGATTTACCTCCTTATGTTTAAGATATAACGTTCGTTGATTAATTAAATTACTGACAAAATAATTAATCAACTTCTTATTTATTTCCCAAATTAGTACCACTCAGAACCTTAACCGTTATGTCAGACAATCGTCTACCTGTAGGGTTTAACATAATGTACATTCCTGAGCTCATTTCGGGGACGTCATCAATACAGCGTACTGGAACATAGTGACCATAAATAATTTATAATAGCACATCATATAATTATTCTTACTTACCAAAATACCTCGTATGTCATCCTAATAAAATAGGAATCACTTGGTAAATCAAATAAATAAGAGATAAATATATATGCCTAATTTATACTATCTTACATCTTAAGAGAACGCATCAATCACTGAAGGTCTAGGTTACAACAACGATCAGGGAGTCTCATAACCTTATCTTTTAGTGGTCCTGTTCAACACTTAACATAAGTGCTACAGTAATTCTTCAGTTAAAGACCAACTGAATCAAGAATACAATACAGTCTTTTTCCAAGAGGGGTCTCACTGCCTGCCTAGACTGTGATAGGAACTTATAGGTGATCTTTCTATTCGAAACACTTCGAACCACAATATCTCAATATAAGACATGGAGTATGATTTGCATAAATAAATAAACTGCAAACATATGTACTTTGACTGAAACATGATGGCCAGAACAAAATGGAATTGATAGAATCTGCAAAACATAACTTTCACAACATATCTCTAACAACCTCCCACTTATGCTTTATTAGCTCCTGGCTAAACAAACTAACCACAATTTCTTTTAATCTAATTCTCAAAGACTAGTCTACTATGTCTCCCTAACATCTGACTCCCATTCCTTCGACGTGTCTTGTAAAGACTTTTGCCGGTAAGCTCTTCGTAAAATGATCTGCTAGGTTGTCCTCTGACTGTATCTTGGCAACAACGACTTCTCCTCATCCAACGATTTCTCGTATCAGGTGGTATTTGCGCTCTATGTGTTTACTCGCTTTATAAGTCCGTGGCTCTTTCGAATTTGCTACTGCTCCGCTGTTATCACAGAACACTGTAATCACAGTGGGCAAACTCGGTACCACATCAAGGTCGAGGAGAAAATTCCTGAGCAGACAGCTTCTTTCGCTGCCTCTGAGGCTGCTACATACTCATCCTCCATGGTTGAGTCTGCCACACATTTCTGCTTGACACTCCTCCATACTATGGCTCCTCCTCCTAAAGTAAACACACACCCTGAGGTCGACTTGCTTTCGTCCCGGTCTGTCTGGAAGTCAGAATCAGTGTAACCCAACGGAAGCAATTCATCTGCCTGGTAAATCAACATGTACTCCTTTGTCCTACGTAGGTACTTGAGTATATGCTTTATCGCAGACCAATGTTCCGGTCCTGGATTACTCTGATATCTTGCTACCATGCCCACGGCATAACAAAATATCAGGTCGTGTGCACAACATAGCATACATGAGGCTTCCTACTGCTGATGCACAAGGAACTGCCTTCATGTCCTCTGTCTCTTGAGGTGTCTTCGGGGACATCCTCTTAGATAGAGGTATTCCATGCCGAAAGGGTAAATCTCCTTTCTTGGAATCCTACATGTTGAAACGCTTTAGGAAAATGTCTATGTATGTGAATTGGGATAGGCACAACTTTCTCTTCTCTCGGTCCCGAATGACCTTGATTCCGAGAACATGTCCTACTTCTCCCAAATCCTTCATATAAAACTGCTTAGATAACCATACCGTTACGTCTGATAACATCTTCACACTGTTTCCAATTAGAAGAATATCATCCACATACAGTACTAGAACCACGTTTCCATCACTTTTTTTGTACACACAGTGCTCATCCGGACATTGGGTAAATCCATACGATTGGACGACCTCGTCAAAACGGATGTTCCAAGACCTCGAACTGTAACACCCCGCTATGTCATAAATATCAGAGTTAAATTTTTGCAAACTAATCAGTAATTTTAATAAAAGATTTTACGAAAATTATAAGCTAGCCGTTGTTAATAAATATTCATTTTAATGCTCAAGTCTAAGTTATTCAGCTAAGGTAAATTCCAAGTTCCCGTAGATACCTATGCGTAAAGGACATAGAAAGAGGACCCCACCGGCCAATCTATTCTGATGAAGATCACAGGTCCCGAGAGGTGAGAGGCAGTAGTTGAGTTCCTTGCTCCGACGTTAAGTCGAAAGTATATCCGGTTAATTTTATTTATTAACCGAGTTAATTCCAGTAATTTCTCAGTTCGTTTATTTTATAAATGGACATAGTAAGTTCGGGATTAATTATTTCAGTGATGACGTATTAATCGAATTTGAGAATATTCGATTAATCGTCAAAGATGAGTTTCGAGCCAGTTATTGAGTTCCAGTTTTAAGTTCTACTTTTAGTCGATAATTCGGTTTAATTATTTCAATAACCGAATAAGTTTTCAAATTTAATTCCAATCCGTTTATATAATAAATGAGTTTGGAATTAATAGCGTTAAGTCGAGGTAATATTCGAATTAATTTTCGAAGTCGAGTTTCAACCGAAAATGATGACGTTCGATTTAAGTAGTCATGTGTACTCACCGTTCCTATACAGCGACGCGTCCACATTAGTACACCGTCCATGATTAACTTATGCCTAAGTAATTGTCATTAACCCTTGATTAATTAATTTAATCCATGCTTAGCCTGTGAATCTATGCTTAGCTTAAGCAATAATAAATACCATGATCAAGCTAATTAATCCATGTCTCCATGTCTTAGCTTAAGCTAATTAATACATAATAAATACCATGATCAAGCTAATTAATCCATGTCTCCATGTCTTAGCTTAAGCTAATTAATCCACGTCTTAGCTTTCTATTGTTGCCGTTAGATACTAACCGTGCCGTTAGTTTTGGTGCAACTTGCACACCATGACTCACCTAGTAGCTTCCGTTAGATACTAACCGTGAGATAAGTTTTGTGCAACTTGCACACCATGACTCACCTAGTAGCTGCCGTTACATACTAACCGTGAGATAAGTTTTGGTGCAACTTGCACACCATGACTCACCTAGTAGCTTGTAGTTATGTGGCATTATTTAGCTCATGTAAGTGATGACTAGGCTAAGTCATGCCACGAAGCCATCTTATAAGACCATGGGTACCTTAAAAGGGACACCTCATGCTTAAACACATTTCACGCTTTAAAAGGGACATCTCATGCTTAAACACATTTCACGCCCATATAAGTGAAAGATTGGGAAAATTCGGCATTTCATCTTGCAAACCAAGAGCTTATAGAGAGAAAATACCAAGAAAAAGATAGAAATACATTGAGAAAATATAGCTTGTATTAGTCCAAGTCAAAGGAAGCACACGCTTAGCACATTGAACACCGAGCGACCTCACACAAGTCTTTGCAATTTTGTCGAGTGTTTGGAAGGGTATATCTATACTAACCCTCTTTTAGTTATTTCATGTTCATATAGGAAGGATCATGTAGAAATCATTTGAATTAATTCGTGTTTAAGGCCAAAATGCACTCTGAAGTACCATTTTAGACCATTCTGAGCCATGTTCATTTCTAACCGGCAACCCCGGAGCAACTTATGTGTTTTTTTTTGTCAATATATGTCATTTTATGTTCATGATAGCAAGATTATGTAATAGTCAAGTCTTTTGGTTCAAGTTTTGTGCAAAACGTACTCGGAGGTGCTACATAAGCCCTCTTCGAGTTATTTCAAAATCTAGCCGGCAAGTCCCGAGCACTTTATACATTTTTAGTCATTTTAAGTCATATTATGATCAACTAAGTCATGTTTGCTGGAGAAAGTAGCCGGACGGCCGACAAAGTGTCGACCGTAGTGCTTACCGCACGTAGTGGTGTAGCACGCCCGGTAGTGGCCTGCGAGTATGCAGCCGCACGCACACGTCCAGCAGTGCGACGTGCATGGCTGTGCCGCAGTGCCCAGCAGCGTGCTGTTGGCAGTTGTGCGCGCAGGCGCACTGATGAACGATCGCGGTTTTTGTCTATTTGGTGTGAGTAATCGCGCACTTAGGTCCTTCGACTACACACGATAGGTGTGACTAACAGACGCACTCACGGCATTCTCTTAGACACGTGTGACTTCAAGACTCTCTCAGGGCCTTCTCTACGACACGATTTGTATGATAAACATGCACTAATGGCCTTGTTTAAACACACGAAAGAACACAATGTTCCCCTTTCTATTTACTCATCAATTTTCTGGTCCTTTAATAATGAAGAGGTACATGGGAATTTATAGGTGCATAAAATAAATCTAAGCCTAATCAATCTAGATCTCCTAAATCAATAATTAAAAGCAATAAGGAAATAAAATCCTACTACTACTAAATTTATTCTTGCTTGACTTGCACTCCAATCCAAAGTCTTGAGCTCCAAGTCATGCGCCCAAATCCTTAGCCGCCCTACGCTTGCACGCCGCCAGCTTGCGCGCGTCGCTCTTGCCTTTCCTACTCCTCGTGGCGCGCGGCAACCCACGCGCTTACTTCCCACGCGACGTCCTTCGCTCGCGCGCCCGGCCCGCTGACCTCCGTCTGCACGTGTGTACCCGCGCCCAGCACTCCTACGCCCGCTAGGTCGTGATCTTCTCCCGCTCGCGCACCGACCTCGCCTATGCCTACTCGGCCTAGGTGACCTGCGTTTGTGCCCCACTCGCGCGCCTTCGCGCGCGCCTCATATCTGTTGCCCTTTGCGTGCGCGTGCGTGTCGTCACCCATTATTCTTTCACCCGCTCGGCTTAGGCTTCTCGCGCCTGTGCTGCGCTCGTTGGAGGGTTAGATTGGGAAGATCTAACCCATCATTGGATGAGTTAGATTGGGAAGATCTTGAGATGTTGGAGGCTTTGGAAGAGAGCTCACACCATGGGAGAAAACATATCTAGATGAGCTTCATGAGCGAAAGAACGTAGAAGATTACGAGAGACAACTCGTAGAAGCCCTAGAAGCAATGGTGGTAGATGTTCAAAACCACGGTGTTGAAGGTGCGCTGAATTTTTTAATCCTTAAGGACAAGGAAAGTCTCGAAGAGGAGGGGAATGATACGGAAGTGGTCATCAACCCAGGAAAGTCAGAGGATGAGGATGGCGACGATCTCAACAGATGGTTGGACAACATGCTAGAGGAGCCATCAAGTCCAATATATCGACCTTCTTGTGTAAGAGATTGGCCAAAAGGATGTGGTCCGAAGTTAAAGGTGAAGGCTTGAAAACGCAAGGCCAAGCAAGCCCGAAGGGAACACAAGGCAAAGGCTAAGGAAGGGAAGTGTTGGTGCAAGCCTTGTGCGAGAAAGAGACGAGTTTGAAAGATGGAAGTTCGAAGGCAAGGTAAACAAAGAATAGAAGATGGTTGGATATGGCGTGCTGGAGATTGTATTGGGTTGGAAGGTTGGGACCCATGGCCATCGGGCGAGCCAACGGAGTCGAGCGACAAAGAGATCGAAGGTGATCGGCTAATGAGCGAATGGCGCGCATCGGCCCATGATGCGCGCGGTTGGACGGAGCAGGATTCACGAGCAGCGCCAGGCGTACGCCGGTGCGCAGCAGACGAGTCAACAACAGAGGTTAGCAGCACGTGGATGGCGTCGGGCGTACGTGGGTGCGCGGTAGAGGATTGGAGCGCCGGCGTAGGTGGGACGCACTGGGAGATCGCGGGGCACGATGACGATGGAAAGATGGCTGGCGTGCACGACACTCGCGGAAGTGGCGAGAACGTGCAGGAGTTGGGCAGCAGTAGCGGCGAGCGCACATTGGCATGCGAGTGGAGCAGCAGCACGGGCGATGGCCTAACCCACATGGGCATAGGTGTAGCGGGCGACGGCGCGCACGCGCGGGGGAATGGAGGCGAAGCGCAGGCGTGCGCAGAAGACGACGTGTGGGGAGCGGGCGCAAGAAGCCTAGTCCACGCGGGACTAGGCGAGGCAAGGAAGGCGCGCACATGCGAAGGAAGTGGACAAGTCCTAGGGCAAGAAGGATTAGGCGAGGGGGCATTGCGCGCGAGTGACGGGGACACACTGGCCAAGGGCAGCGGACGGATGGTGCGCGCGATGGCGCGCGCGTTCAACGTAGGCACACAAGAAGCTGCGCCCGACAAGGACTAGGCCTCGCGGGCGGCGCACGTACAAAGGCGACTGAAGGGAATTGCAAGAGACTTGGAGCTCAAGAATTCTTGGAGTGTAAGGCAAGACATTAGTAGTTTTAGTAATAATAGGATTTTTTTACCTTATTGCTTTTAATTATTGATTTAGGAGATCTAGTTTGATTAGGCTTAGATTTATTTTATGCACCTATAAATACCTCATGTACTTTTCATAATTGAATGTCTTGAAATGAAGTATTGAATTGATGAGTCAATTTAGAGAGGGGAACTTTATGTTCTAACGTGTGTTAAGCAAGGCCATAGAGCGTGTTTACATATAGTGTCGGAGAGAAGGCCATTAGAGCGTCTTGAAGTCACAGTGTCTAGCAGAAGGCCGATAGTGCGTCTGTTAGATACACCTATCATGAGTAAACGAAGGCCCTGAGTGCGCGTTTATTCACAACCCGAAATAGACAAAAATCCGATCTGTCATCATTGGTGCTTTCATTGAGAGGTGCTGATCGTATTTTTGTCTATCTATCTTTTTTCTTTTTTCGGTTTTGCCTTTGCTGAGGGTGCCAAATTTTTGTTCTTTTTTGGTTCGAAATTTTCTAATTTTTGTTCGAATTTTTCATTATTTTTTCGTGAGTTTTTTTTTTAAAAAAAATGTCATCTAGTCCTTTGTTTTATATTTTTTTCAGTTTTGTTCGAATTTTTTTTCAAGAGTAAAAAAAAAAAAGAGAGATCCATGATGTCAAATCGTGAAAGAATCCAAGCGTTGGAAGAAAATTTGAACATCATTGGTGCTTTCATTGGTGCGTCTGTTAGATACACCTATCGTGAGTAACGAAGGCCCTGAGTGTGCGTGTATTCACAACCCGAAATAGACAAAAATCCGATCCGTCATCAGCGCACCATCGCGCGCTCCCCGCTACTGCTGCCCAGCTCCCGCGCGTCCTATCCAACGCCCACGTCCCAACTGCCTACCGCGCACCCCCGTGCGCCTGCTGCTCCGCGCGTGCCATCAGTCTCTGTGGCCTGCTCGTCTACTGCGCATCCCCGTGCACCCAACGCCGTCTGCGTGTGCTCCACTTTATCGCGCGCATCAAGGCACGATGCGCGCCATTCGCTCGTGCTCATCTCCTCGTCGCCAATCGTCTCCAACAGCTCGCCCGATGGTCCTAGCTCGTCCTATAGGTCCCATCCTTCTTTGCACCTACCTTCCGTTCACGTGTAATCTCCGGCACTCCATGTCCAACCGTCCTCCATCCTTTGCTTACCTCGCCTTCGAGCCTCCATCTCCCATGCTAGTTTATTCCTCGCACAAGGCCCACAACAATGACTTGCATTCTTAGCCTTCGCCTTGCGTCGTCTCTTGGCTTTGCGTTTCCTAGCCTTCAGCTTCGCCCTTGGACCACATCCTTTTGGCCAATCTCTCACGCATGATGGTCGGTAAATCGGACTAGATGGCTCCTCCAGCATGTTTTCTAACCATAAATCGAGATCCTTAACCATCCCGTCACTTGACTCACTGGGGTTAATAACCACTTCCGTATCACGCGCACAGTGCACGCAAGTTGCGCCCGACAGGGGTTATTAACCCCGGTGAGTCAAGTGATGGGATGGTTGAAGATCTCTATATTTGGCTGGAAAATATGCTGGAGGAGCGATCTAGTCCGATTTACCGACCATCATGTGTGAGAAATTGGCCAAAAGGATGTGATCCAAGGTTGAAACTGAAGGCTAAGAAACGCAAGGCCAAGAGACGATGCAAGGCAAAGGCTAAGAAGGCAAGTCGTTGTTGTGGGCCTTGTGCGAGGAAGAAACGGGCATGGCCATCGGAGGCTCGAAGGCGAGGTAAGCAAAGGATGGAGGACGGTTGGACATGGAGTGCCGGAGATTGCACGGGAATGGAAGGTAGGTGCATGGAAGGATGGGACCCATGGGACGAGCCGGGTCCATCAAGTGGGCCATTTTTACGGATCAGGGACTGCCATGGCGGACTAGGCCCATCGTGCGAGCGGTCGGAGTCGGGCGCGAACGAAGGGCTAATATGCGAAGGTGCGCATCGTGCGAGTGATGCGCGAGCATGGGGCGTGGAGGCCAAACGAGCAGGTGGCTGGGACGCGCGGGCTTCGAACAGTGGAAGCACGGGGAGACCGAGGTGTGCGAAGGGAGTTCACGCGGGCGATAGCCTAGGCCTGGCAGGCCTAAGAATGTCGGGGGCGCACGCGTGCGAGGAGGTCGGCGATGGCGCGGGGCTCACGGGCAGCAACGCGTGGGGCGACGCCGACAGAGACCTAAGCTGGGGAGGATTAGGCGAGGCGGGCAGTGCATACGCGGGCGGTGGAATATACCGAGTAGGAGTGGGAATGCCAGGCGCGCGGTACCACGCGCGAAAGGAAGGCGACGCAAGCTAAGGAGCGCGACAGCGCGCGCGTGCAAAGTAGACGAGGCACGCGATGTCTCGTGCGCCAAGGAGTGGGAAAGCGGCCGAGGGCGGAGCGCAAAAGGCGACGTGTGAGGCGACTAAGGATTTGGGCGCATGACTTGGAGCTCAAGACTTTGGATTGGAGTGCAAGTCAAGCAATAATAAATTTAGTAGTAGTAGGATTTTATTTCTTTCTTGCTTTTAATTATTGATTTAGGAGATCTAGTTTGGTTAGGCTTAAATTTAATTTATGCACCTATAAATATCCATGTACCTCTTCATTATGAATATGTTGAATGTGTGAATAAGAAAGGGGAACATTGTGTTCTATCGTGTGTTTAAGCAAGGCCATTAGTGCGTGTTTATCATACAACTGTGTCGGAGAGAAGGCCCTGAGAGCGTATTGAAGTCACACGTGTCTAAGAGAAGGCCCTGAGTGCGTCTGTTAGTCATACCTATCATGTTTAGTCGAAGGCCCTGAGTGCGCGATTATCCACAACAACTTGACAAGAACCGCGATCGTTCATCAGCCCAGCAGCGCGCCTCGCAACGCCCGTACCGCCAGCCAGCAGCGCTCCGCGCATGCTGGCCAGTCCTAGCGCACCCAACAGCGCGCCAGCAGTGCCCAACAGGCCTCGGCCAGTGCCCGACAGCACGCCCGAGTGCCCAGTCACCCCAGCACGCGCGAGCAGCGGCACCCGCGTACCCAGTCGCCTGCCCGTGGCGCACAGCAGCATTAGGCAGTGCCAGTGCAGGAGCAGCGCACACGGCAGTGGCCAGTCATGCCTAGCAAGCACCCAGTAGCCGTTGGCAGTGCACAACAGCACGCAAACAGCTGTCCTGATACGGAAGTAGAGGTTAGCACCGGCGAGGCTAATGGACTTGGAGGGCTAAAACGCAAGAAGTGCGCATCGACCCTTGATGCGCACAAATGGACGATTAACGAGTATGCGGGAATTGGACGGGA